AACGCATCCGGCAGAAAAAGGGCACCTCTTTGCACGTCAACCGCAAACCTAAACCCCAGAAACATAAATCCATAAACCCCCTATTTTTAAACCCCCGAAACAGCATGTAGAGGCCTGAAGAGGTCCCCGTACTTGATGATGAAAGTAGAAATCAACCGAAGCCCTCTTTCAACTATTAATTAAGGCCCTATTAAACCTCAACCTCGCAACTTGGGCATGACGGACCTTCGGGGAATCTGGACCCTGACATGAGGGGTTTTGGGTTTACGGCTTAGGGTTTAGGGAGAGCGAATGTCAAGGGCACTGTCAATACCAGCAAAACTATAGTTGTCTTTTGAGCACCTCTTTGCCCGTGAAAGTATCAAGGGTTTAGGGTTTAGGGGACATCATTACCATTCTGAATGCACGTTTGTTGTTATCGTGTCTTGAGAGAAATCTTCCGAGGCACTTTCCAGCTCCGGCCAGGCAGCATTGGCCTTCCGATGGGACAACGAAGTATAACCATAATTATGTACCACGGCAAAGCCCAAGACCCTGCCTCCTGTTTGCCCATGGCACGTGGGGCTTTCACTGCAACTTTCTCGGGTCGGGCTCCCGAGAAGTGCGGGTACACGGTCCTCGGGCATCGCGGATTTAGGGCCTTCCGAGAAATGGGGGGTACTTACCATCAGGCCCTACCCATAAGCCCCAAAGTAGTTCCTTTTTGGCATTGCCTTATAGGATTCTAAATATGAACTCCAAAAAGGGTCAATGCGGGCGTAGGGTTTAGGTTTAGGGTCTAATTTAGGGCTAGGGCCAGTTAAGGAGGTCTCCCGTGGTTGCTGAAGACCGACTCACCAGCCTAAGTTGTCTGGGGTGGTCTTCATTAGACGCTCGTGTTGCAAGCAAGCTGCGAGGTGGTCAATGGATACCCATCCGTAATGGCTTGCACCAAGAAGTTCCTGGCAAGACTAAGACGTGAGGCACGCACATGGACAGGCTTGCTGGATCTAGACGGGCGTTCGCCAGTAGGCCGCAAACCAGTTCTTCATACATCTGCGAGGCTCTCAGAACTTGCGGGCTTCGTAAAGCGAAAGGCTTAGGTGTTGCGCAGTGTCACCTAGAGGTCAGCGAGCAATCCTGAACCATCGCCTACACGGCAACAGAATAAACTGTTAATTTTCGGACCCTGAGATGAGATGCATCGCAGGACTCCCCACCTCGGATCGCCGGGCTGCGCATTCAGGAGCTGCGCATCCAAGCGCACCACGAGCTCGTGGAGCCGCGCCTTCTCCGCCGAGGGCCTGGGAAAATGGGTCAGTACCCTAGGGATCAAAATAGCCCAAAAGCCTTATGTACTATGATCCTTTGGGCCCAAAAGCCATAATATATGAGTCCTTAGATCCCTAGGGGTAAGAACAAGAATCCCTAGGGGCTGAATTTGCAATGCCGATTTTTTGTTTTTTGCTCGATTTAAGGGCTCCTCTTGTTTTTTGTTCGATTTAAGGGTTCCTGTAAGGATATCTGCAAGGGTTTTCAAGATTTAGGCTTTAGGGTTTAGGGTTAGGGGTTTGCAGGCTTCTGGGTCGACGGCTTAGTCCAAGTCCCATCTGCCATGCTTTGTCGTGCGGCGATCCACTTCCAAGTCCAGAAAACCTGAAGCTCAACAACCCCAGAACGCCGAAGCCCTAAAGAATGAAGCCCTTAAAGAAGCCCCCCGAAAGAACCTTATAGAAGCCCTTGAAGACACCGCTTTGAAGACACCCCTATACCGTCAGAGCTCTGATATCCTAAATCCTTCAAGACCAAGCTGGGCCCTCCACAACGAATCCCAGACCTGCCGAGAGGAATCTACGGGCTGGTCGCGGTTTGGATTCGGGAGCTTCGGATTTCGTGGGTCGGGGTCGTCGGGCTTCGAGGTCGCAGGCTTCCGGTTTGGGGTTTACGGCTCCAGCATCGGATACTCTGGGGCTGTATGGGAGTTTCCGAAAATTTGGGGGTACCTTATTTTGGGGTCCTTATAATAAGGATCCTACTATTTAGGGTACTATATAGTAGGGTCCCCTGTTTTCGGAAACTCCCGTAAGCTGTCACGGTAGTCGTCACCCGCAACCACGGCCACCCCAGTCGCCTCGGCCCACTTGTTCTTGCGCCTCAGTAGCTTTGGAAACCCTGACTCGCCTAATATTCACGAGGTATCACCTGCCATCGGTCGTATTCAGCTTCGTCTCAGGATGATATGCTTCAGTTACAACTAGTATTGCTTTTCGTGCCCGTTCTCGTGTAGCTGGTCATGGACATCGCAATCGCATTCCGAGCCGCATGTCTGACAGACTATTGAAGCGTCAAGTCCTTTTGTGCATCCACACCGAGTGCAACAACAATCGGAAAGGGGTCTGGACCAATGTTCGGGCGACGTTACGACTCCGTGGAGCAGAGGGGGCTCTGATGTGGCCCGGGGTCGACATGTCACAGCTCACGAAGCGCTTTGAACGGAAAGGCTTCAGAAGTTCCGTTGAGGCTTTGAGGCGTCTGCATCAACTGCAGGATATCGGCAGGCTACACTTGAAGCTGTATCTTGGGGATCGGGAAAGCGTCAGCAAATAGGGCTTTAGGGCACTGCATGTGGCGATCGAAGCTGAGACGACCACGACTGCGCTGCAGCTATCTCAGCCTCTTCATGCGCTGCATCAAGTCGGCTGCTGGGGGTAGTTCGTACTGCACAAGCATCATGGGGAAACTTGCTGCATATTCAGGGTTCTGAAGTCCGTCTGCGCCCTTATTGGCCCTGCGACTTTCCCCTCGGGCCTCGATCTCCAATGCTTGGCGATGGAGGATGGCAATTCCTCTGCGTTCCAAGTCCTGGAATCGGGCCTCAGGTGCGGATGCAAAACAACTGTACGAATATTATACATGGATGTGATCTCGGCATGTGCACTTGTTCTCGGCATTTCATACATATGTATGTATGTATATATATATATATATATATATATATATGTATGAGCATATGTACATACATACACATACATATACACCTACTCACACACGACTCGTGCATGCGTATATGCAAATGTATACATCTACAGTATGTGGCAAAGGTATGCATTTGTTTGCATGCGCTCACGCATGCATACAGACATACAGACCCACATGCATAACTTACAATCATGCAAAAACCCAGGCACATGTGGATACATACATGCATGCTTCCATCCAGGCATACATAAATACATACTCACATCCATCCATGCCTCCATGCATGCATGCGCACATACACATGCACATATACATATACTTGGGCAACATTGACAACTGCTATTCCTGTGTTATACCAGGGATCTCGACACTAAGGTCCCCTTTCAGATCTCTGTTACAAGAGTGACACCTTCCTTTCCGGGTCCCCCAAAGAAAGGCCCTACATGATCCCTGTACAGACAACAATCAACAATACCTAACAGCCCATACAACACAACCCTGTGTATGGGTATATGTATATATCTATATATACATGCGTGCATATACATATATACGCATATACATACACACGATGGAGGCCTATACTAATTCCGCAGAGTAGCCCCTTCAAAGAAAGGGAAACCCTATTCTCGCGATTAAGGCCCCGATGGTACTATATCACACCCCTCATCGTACCCCCATTTCAGGAACCCTGAAAGGAACACCCCATTCTGATTCTTAAGGTCTTAAGGCCCCCATATTACTGTACTAAACCCCTCATAGTCACCCCTGAAAGGAACACCGAAAAGGAAACCATCATACTGTAACGATTGAAGCCCCTACAACACTATGTTGCGGCCCTCATGGTACCCCCCCGCATTCAAGGAACCCTGAAAAGAACGCCCCATTCTGATTCTTAAGGGCCCCCATATTGCTATACTAAACCCCTCATAGTAACCCTGAAAAGGAAACCATCATATGCCATCAAATTCTAAAGATTAAGCGGCCCCTATATTACTATGTACCAAACGCCTCGTAGCAACCGCTTTCTGATTCTTAAGGCCCCTATAGTACTATGTTACACCCCTCATAGTACCCCCCCCACTGATTTTTAAGGCCCCCAGAGTATGCAGATCCTCCCATGAGCACTGGGACTGATGCCAGGCTCCCCCATCGAGGCTTTGGTCCGTGGGAGCGCATGGGCCTTGGGGGAGCGACAAAGCTTTCCTGTCTTTTGAAGTTATTTTTTGAGCTCCTTTTCTCCAATAGCAGCAGTCAGAGCCTTTTGAGGGTTTTAGGAGGTAGGGTTCAGGGTTTAGGGTTTAAGACTTAGGGTTTAGGATGGTTTGGGGGTTGGGGTTGAGGGTTTAGGGGCTGGGTGGTGTAGCTAAGGAGAAGCACAGGATCCGGGTAGCGCCGGCAAAACGGATTACGGGGGTGGTGAAGCAGGCTGTGTCGTTTTCATGTTTGCGGCGTGAAGGGCCAGATGGCTTCGCGAGATTGGGAGGTTTTGTCCTGAGCAGTAGCATCGGCATACAATGCAAAGGCAGAGCCCCAAACCCTAAACCCTGAACCCCCAAAACCCCTGAACCCTAAACCCTGAACATGCCTCAAGCCTGGATTCACTCGCAGTAGCCGTGCACGTCAGAATGGTCGCAGGCAGTCTGAGGCTGAGATCTTTGGCTTGGTATCTCGAGACTTTTCACATAATATGTATATATGTATGTATGCATGCATCAGATATACATATAGATACATATAGGTGTAGTAATTGCTATCATATAGAATCCTTGTTATCTACTATGAACGCGACAGAAGAGATCCACCTGCGTAGGGCCGTGGCACAAGCAGGTCAGGCGGGAACTGCACCTCGGTAAGTCGAAATCGAACTTTCTCCCAGCTATATACCTACGTAAATACTGAAACGGTACACTATAGTTACTATAATATCTCACATTACAGTACCTTATATCATTGTTGTGATATACAAGGTGTCGATTTCAACAATTCCCAAAATTGTGTATAGAGAGCGCTCTATACGAAACAGTAAGGGGAAGTAACAACTATCCCAAATCGATGCCTAGTGTTCCCCAGCATCTTCTGAAGAGTAAGAAGGAGGAGGCCCCGAATTCAAATGCCGGCGAAGTCCAACCAACAACATACTGTAGCTCCCTCTTCTTCCCAACGCCTTCTACTTCATTCCCCACTTGGCGGGCCTGGACTTCATTGCCGTCGGCAGACACGACCACACCCAGTTGGCCCAACAGCTCCTCAAGAACGCAGGCTGCTTTCTCACTCACGGTCTTGCTTGGACGAGCTTGTTCATGGTTACCTAAAGCAGCATGTCATCAGTTGCTAAATCCAACACGTTTGTGTTCAAAACCCACCCTCCTTTCGAGCACAACGCTGGTCGAAAACGCCGGCAATCATCTTCTGCGTCCTGACGTGCGGAAGGGATGAGACGATCCTATCCTCCAACTGGCTTCACGACCACTACATACTGAAGACGAACAAGCTGTCGCCGAGCTGTGGCAAGAAGATTGGTGGTCATATCGACCATGCTGCTAAGACTCTACCAACGCGTAAAACTACTGAGTCGCCACAGGCCTGCTGTACCCTTCCACGAATTGAATCGGGGCCCTAAACAGCTCCATGTTGAAAGGACGGTCGTCTACAATGGCGCCATGTCAGCTCGTAAGGGCTCAGACATACTCTGAACATACAAGGGTCTGTTAATGCTGTTCTGTAAGGTCGGAAGGTAGGTGTGTCCTGTCCAAGGTGGCCTCGTGGCGAGTGACGCGAACCTCGGAGGCTCGGACATGGATCTGGGGACGTCTTTAGGGCTGCCTCTCGTTTGGGTCCAGGGGTTTCTGGGGACGTCTTAAACTTAGGGTTGCCGTTCCTTTGGGTCCAGCAGTTTTTGAGGCTGCCATTTTCTTCAGAGAAACGTTGACATGGAAACTACGACTCGGATGCACCTTGGTAAGACCGAGGTCGCACTAGTCGCGCAAGAGCCTAGACAGTATCCATGCATCGGCGGAAACTGGGCTGAAGAATTGATGCTGGCTGGCATACTGAGAGCTTCTGGATCTGGTTCATGCATGTTCTGTGCTGTAATACGACAATGCACAAACTTGCCATGAACTCTGACCGGTTCGGCTACATCCAAAAGCAGCAGCATGATCTCAAAAAGCCGCCGGCCTTGGTGCCCTCCGGAAGCGGTCGCAAGGCCTCCCGGTCGCCCCCGGTGGCGGTCTGGTAGTTTCTTAACTTGTTCCCCTCTAAGCCCAAACGTGCTAGACCGGAGAGGCAAAAGCATCTCATACTTGAGCCGTCATGCATGTGCGTACATCTGCTTGTGCATGTTGTTTCATACTGATACTACTACATAAATAACCCAATATAAACATAGGAGAATGTAATCTATATTCTCCTCTCTTCTTGTATTTTAACAGTATATGCTCAGAAAGGTGGATTGAGGCGGCCTCTGGGAGAAGCGCAGACGGGACCGCATCCAGGCACTGGCGCAGTGTATCCTCGAGGCCCTGGGCCGGTGAGAAGCTCTTAAGGGCATGCGGTTTGCCCGTAGGCCTCACAGTAGTTCCTTTTGGGGGTTCATATGTAGAATCCCATAAGGTAATCCCAAACAGGAACTACTACTCCATTTTCCAGTATGGTTTGGGGTCGAGGGTGCCGGATGTAAATTCGGAAAAAGGTCTCCGGGCTTATGGTTTGGGATGTTGTGCTTGCAGGAGGAGGGGAATGTACTTCCGGGACAGGAGGATGGGGAGTCGGGGGGAGGCTGTTGGGGCCTTTGGATTTCGAGAGTTCAACGAAAGCTTGGGGATCTCGGGATGCATCATGGTCAGGATTCAGCAAGAGCGAGTACGTCTGCAGGGGAAAGCTGCAAGCATCGCGTGGGAGATGCCAATGAAGACTCGAAGCAGTAATTTCGAGTAGGGTCTAATGCTCTTGAGACACACCTATGCCAAGTTCAGCGCGTGGGAAAAGGAGGACAATGAGGAGATCAGACTTGGAAGAAGAGGTTTGAACACACACCTCCAAACCGCAAAAGGTCTGCTGCTGGGAATGAGAAACAACATTAACCACCACATCACAAAATAGCAGCACGACAGCTCTGCGCCAGAATGTGCTGACATGATGCTGATATGTGTAGAAAATGCAACAGCAACGTACCTTCGAATCCCCTTGGGTAATTACACAATGCATGCACTTCAGGAAGGAACATCATCATGCATAAAGGACATAAATGCCACCATGCTCTAACAGAAAATACATTCTTTGCGATTTGGATCTCGGATCATGCTGCAGCGTGTGTCTGAAACGTGACGCACAGTATTGTGTCTCTCCATGTGAAAATCAAACGGTGATGTTAACATAATACCTAATGTATACAGACATGCAAGAGCTGTTTTCCCATGTTGTAGCATTCAGAAGGTAACATGTTTCGACACACGCTTACACGTTTCTAGTGGAAGTGTGATCACACATTGTGTATCGCAGTAGGCACGACGAAGCTAAGCCCACGGCAGATGGCATAAAGCGCTCTGGATCGATAAAATACTGCTCGGTCCAGCCTGACAAAAGCTAAGTTTCCATGGTCGACTGCAGCAAGTGATTTTGTCGTTCTCGATGGCCACATATTATAGTTTCCTTAAACTTCAACCCTAAACCCAAACATGTGCCTGGAGACCAGAGGACCGCAAGAAGGGGCTCCTCTTAAAAATTGCGCAACTTGTCCCGGGCTAAAGGCTAAAGCGAGCAAAGACTGCTTCTTGTGTTCGAAAGATCCTCGTGCGCAACAGCTTTTGAGCGAGATAGCTAAGTGCATGCCGGGAGTTCTGGACAGCAGCCCGTTGAAACAACAAACTTCGATCTACCTAAGTCCCTGCAGGCTTCGCTGACACCCCCACATCAGAGGTATCTGCGTGGCATTTACATTTAACTTGAAGCCACGGCTGTAGGTTTGAAGCACCGGATCCCCTACTCCCCACCACAAGCCCGAAAGGCGCCGACGCAGCAGGTTCGGTGGCAAGGTGGGAGCAGCCACCAAAGAGGAGAGCAGCCGCCTTGAGCACACAGTTTTCAATGTCGTCTTAGCTCGAAGAGTCATCAGAGCTCGAGTCATCCCAGCCTGTACAAGTCCTCGATGGAGTTGTCGACGCAGTAGTCGGTATAGAGCAGGCGCAGAGCATCCTGCTTCAAGTCAAGACTCTCTCGTTTCTTAATGGGGCGTTGAAGAACTCGTAGAACTGTCTTGTTGGCTCTATGAAGCTTAGAAAATTCCTCCGCCACTTACATTAATAACTAAGGGCTGAAAGTCCCGATGGCCTGGTAAAATCATAGCTACTGGCAAGGTCTGGTCCTGAACCTAGCACATCTGTCCGGGCACCGTTCAGGTGTGATACGCAACAGTGATTAGATTTCGCAACTCTGGCATTTGACAAGTGTCCGAGAAACACATAATATGTATCTTATACACACTACCTGCCTACATGCATACACACGTATATGTATATACACATATATGTCATATGTGTGTATACCATGTCAACAATCACCATGTCGCCTTTAACAGTTAGTAGTATTCAGTTGTATGTTCACCTCCCACTACTGCAGCAGGCGACTCCTGGATGTCCAGCTTCGTGTGTTGCCGGAGGAATGTCAGGAAGCCTGGGTACTATAGGGGTTCCTTTAAAGGGCACTATAGGGGTTCCTTTAAAGGCTACTATAGGAGCACGCAGCCAAGATCTGTGCTACGAGCTGCTTCACTGCTGGTACACGATTCTCCTCGCTCTGCAGCACGCCTGAAGAGGCAGCCGTTCTAGATGAACTCGGGTCTACAAGTTTCAGGGCTATCAGTGATAAGGCTCACGGGCTCTAATCCTTAAGCCTTAATTCGGACCTGGCATTTGGATGCGAGCGCTGCTGCCGAGGCGGCAACCTTTCAGATTTCGCTGCCCCTTGAAGCCAATGGGATTCTGCTTGTCGCCACGTAGGAAGAGCTTGAACACCTGGGTGGCAGAATGTGGCAAGTCGGCTCACACTTCAACTCCGGCGGTTTCGAGATGCAGATTGAAACCTGGACTGGGGCAATATAGGGGCCTTAATCATTAGAATAGGGTTTCGGGGCACAGTCTACTAGAATTATAATCAGGAACCCCCAAAGAAAAAATCTAACGTGTATTAGAGGCCCCTATAATACGCTGCCTGGTCGACAAAGACATGGTAAAGGCATGGCTCCATCACCGCTCTGTGGATGACCCCTGAGCCGCGAGCTGGGATGTGGGATTCGGGGATGTACTTCGTGGGCTTGTCGTTGGCATCTGCATCATAGCCTCGAGTGGGGATTGCGTCTGCAAGCACGTCCTACGCAAGCTCCAGTGGGCTAGGAAGGCAGGCTGTCGCAGGGAATCTTTCCGTGTTTTGAAGATGCTTGCGCAAGTGCCTGTACGCCATCACGGTCGCCAGCTTAAATGCCAGCGACGAGACCAATGCACCAGCGTCAAAACCTGCAGGTCTAATTAATTAAACTCCGCGACGGACGGCGGAGCTGAAGGACGTCTTGGCCTGTACAGAAGTGGACTAAGTGGATTCGGCTGAAGATCAGCCACTCTGAGCCTAAATAATATATCTGTACGCAAGCGATGCGAGCTTTGCTCTGCGTCTTTTGTTTACATTACCAGATCTGGTATGGCATGTTCATCCTTCTAAGCTCTGTAACACTGAGTGGTGCTGCCACAGACCTTCCCCAATTTTTGGGATGGGCTGCAACATGCATGTAGCACAGGGCCAGACTCCCAATGCCCCCTCCCCCGTTCTTTACAGGTGCATGTCTCAAAATGTCGACCCTTGCGCGTGCAATTCGGATACTCCAGTGCCAGATAGTCTGAAGGCAGCAGAGGCCATGCATTGTTGAGACATACTCAGAAGAGGAAAAAGGGCTGTGGGGCGAGTGCCCTGAACTCAAGGGAAGCTCGACAGGGAGCGCAAGCCGGACAGGCTTGGCGGCTGATGTGAGCTGCACCATAGAGGCTGTGCAAACAGACGTCAAGTCTGGCATATCTTCAGGCGCCTGGCGGAGTCTACAGGCTCAATAGACCTTCCGTCTTGTTGGAAACTGCCCTTGAATCAGCGCTGTTGTCAAGGCAATCTATCCGAGGACGCTTTGATGGGTCCGTCTGCAATAGCTTCCCATAGCGGAGTACTTCGCTGCGATCGCCGGGTGGGCCACGCTGCCGCCCGAGTAGCCCAGTCCATGTCCTCGCTCGAAGCTCGAAGGCAGCGTGGCTGGCAGGCTCCTGCGATGTGGTGATGATGGTGATGATGATCATGACGGGGTCGCAATGACCACGTGGTTCAGCTGCATGAGGCCGACGGGATCGGGGGTAATGGCACTGGCAGTCACGATCACAACACAATGACACCATCTCTCGCCGTGAATCGCATTGACAATCTTGGCTTGCTAACATGATCATGGTGAGCTGGGCTATCTTGTCCTCATAGCATCACTTCGCGAGCTACTTGTAGCTGTCATGACTAACATCACGCAGCTGAGACCCGTCCTGACTGTTATACTTTTACCAACGTTCCCACTAGTGTTTTTTTTTACCCTCTCTTGCCGCAATCTTCACCCTAAACTCTCCACCCTATCTAGAATCTAAAACCTTATACCCAAAAGAAGAAAACATATGAAACCTATCAAAAAAAACAAAACAACCTATATGTATCGATGAAGCCCTTATATGACACCTAAGCCGGGAACCCCCCCCGGGCTGCCCTCCTCCGGGTGGAAGCCCTCGGAGCGCGAGGCCAGGCGATCGTGGAGCTGGTGAAGGTCCTGCTTGGCTTTTGAGGGCTTAGGGCAGTTTGGGGGTTTGGGGTTGGGGGAAATTGGGGGTTTCGAGGGTTTAGGGTTGGGGTTTGGAGGGGTTGGGGGTTTGGAGGGTGTGGGGTTAGGGTTTGAGGATTTAGGGTTTGTGTTTTGCGGGGGTGTCTGGTTTGGGGTTGAGGCCTTCTGCTGGGCTTTATACAGGGTCGCGGTGTGTATGATATCACAGAAGTATGTAACATAAGGGGCCTCGGATTTCTGTCTACTGTAGAGGCTTACTGGTTTTATTGTTCAGGCTACAGAGCTTAAGAATGTAAGCTGAGTCTGACCCCAAACCCACACTCTCCGTTGGGCTCCTCCTGAAAACGTAGGGCCGTGGCCTGCAAGGCGGCATTGACGGCCTCCAGAAGGAAAGTCGAACTAAGCATAGACCATACACACTGACTTTAAAATCACGACAGCGAGCAAGACCGGAAATTGCAGATGGATGCTTGCTTTTGCAGTTCCTGATGCAAGGCAAAATGAGAGTGGGCAGAGGCCCTGAGCTGCAGGCTTCTCTCCCTTGGGACGTCCTCCTCTCAGGACAAGTTTGGGCTTGATATAATCAATACCTAAGTCGAGTGTCTAGGTCTAGATCCTGTTGGGCTAAAGTGCAGAATGACGGAGGCCGTCAGAAGCCGGAGCTTCAAAAACCTGATCTCCTTAAATAACCCGCAGGCCCGTGCGAACCCCGACTCCAGCAAGCTATCGACTCTGGCCTGGGTAAGGTAGGCATTCATTTGCTCGAATCCACCCGGTCGCTCCGCGACGAGCCGGTCGATCATGTGCTTGTCCTTCCGGGTTACAGCTCACTGTTTGGGGGAAACCAACCCAGAGACTCCAGTATCCCTTAATTAAGGAATATACCTTACATTCTAGTAGGATCCCGAGTATGACTTAAGGAAGATTCCCTAAGGGATATTGGAGTCTTTGGGAACCCACATCCAGACCTGAGCCAAGGGTCCTCCAGGCAGCTTGCCTGCGCATCCCGGAGATTCAGGTCAGCGAGCTTCTTACCTTCGGCCCCGCTTGAGGGTAGAGGCTTGAGGGCTCTGACTCGGGATGGAGACCAAGCCCTCGTATCTGACGAGTTCGGGATTGGTCTTTGAGCTTCTCAACTTCTCTGAGGAGAATCTAGGTCGGACTTTTGGCTTTCTGAAGTAAGCGCATGTTCTTCAAGGAACGGCGTCAGTATTCCCCAAGCCCAACTGGACATGCAACAAGTGCCTTCCCCATGAAGCCTAGCGTAACCAAACGCATGAACCCTAAACCCTGAAACCCTAGGGTCCTAGACAGCCATGTGGGTGGTTGTCAAAATTAGGTCCATTTTTGGGCCCCTATTATATAATATGGCACCTATTATTTAGGGTACCCCCAAAAAAGGAGCCTAATTTTGACCACTACCCATTAACTAGAATAGGTTTTCGGGTATACTACACTATAATTATAATAAGGAGCCCCCAAAACAGTGTAGGTAATTATTGAAGGCCCTTATATTAGACAGCCATGTTGCTTATCACCATGGCCAACTCGATGTTTGTCTGGCCATGGTTCCTCAGCTGACATGAACCCCTCGAGACACGAAGCTTTTGGACCTGTCATGGTCTTCGGGGGTGGGGAGACAAAGGCAAAGGGTTCATAGAGCTTGCGGCTTAAGGGTCTGGCTTGGGTTGGGGGGGGCGGTTCGGAAGTTCAGGACATTGCAGGATTTCACACGTGCGACGAACGACGGCAATTACTCGGACATCCCATGGAAGCAGTTACTGGACACTTAATCAGGAAAGCAGTGGAGACGTCTGTGTCGGCAGCGACAACGACGGCGATGCATGACATGTCTGTTGTTACAATTGGATGGACAGAACTACGATATCATGGCACATATGTTTGTGTGACCGCCGGAACCATCATCTGTGTTTAGCCAGCCACGCACGCTCTCACAAGCAGGTCCTGCTGTGAACACGCAAGGCAGGCAGGCAGTCAAACAAGCAAACGTCCGCACTCACATCACGGCACATGCGTGCATGCATACTCGGTCACTGCGGCCCTTATGAGTAACATCTCATCAACTTATTCTTCTGTTAAATCGAAACGAACGAGCGACATTAGCATCATCAGCATCACCCAGCACCAGCAGACTGACTGTCATCACCACCGGCAACCAGCACCAGCTAGCATGTGGAGCCGGAGCACGACAAGAAGCTGCAAAATAGTACGAGCAACCATCATCGTCACCATTGTGGAAGCACCAGCAGCGGGAGCAGCACTAAACTGGCAGTCGTTATCCTCGCCGTCGCTGCCGTCAAGGGCAAGTTGCAGTCGACTGGGACTCGGAGCTCTACAGCATCTCGAAACTCTTAGAATTTCCTGAGCGAAGTGACGAAGTGCAGGCAAAAGCCTTCGCAGCCTGAACGAAACCCAACTCGGCCAACTCCTGCACAATGATCTTCAACTCTTGAAGTGCAACCCAGCATCATGACCCCAGAAGGCGTGCAGATCTGCAGGCCCAGGAAGCGAGAGTCGTTTCGGCTAAGCTCCGCGGTCTGGAGAAGCTCGAACAAACACCACGACCTGGCTTCGAACAGGTCAGTATAATTCGGGCTTTCGGGCGTTTTTTGAGGGCTCTTTTCCAAGCAAGGCTTTCGTTCAGAACTCCCACTTCGGAGGAACCTGCTGACCGAGGCACTTGGGCTTAGGGTTCAGGCCGTGTTACTACGGTTTAGTCCCTGACACAAGTATTAAACTATATAGTGGTGAACTGTTGTGCTGAGCGCTTGCTTCCTTGGGGTGCTTCTAAACAGCAGCGACCTTGTCAATGGCAAGGCGTCATTGTCGAAGACCATCACCGTTCCCTGGCAGGTGCCGCTGCGCAGGGCGAGGTAGAAGGAGGACTGGTCCCAACTCATGCCGACCTCGGCTGACAACTTACAGGGTTCTCCACCCGTTAGGTTGAAATGCTGCGACAACATACCAATACCATGCCTCGCCCCAAGCAGGAGGCAACAGGCTAGTATATGAGCCTTTATAATTAGAATAAGGTCTTGGGGCCCATTAAATTATAAATAGAGTTTGAGGAACTCCCCAAGACAAACAGCATTGGAAGTTATTTCGGCCCCTACATTATGGACTGCCGGGAAGCCTCCTCTTCCACGCGCCACTGGTTGTTTGCAAGGGAGCAAATCCAGTAGGAGGCGAGCATCCATGAGACAGGGCTAGGATCGGAGAGCGTCTCGGCGTGCTTCCGCACAGTGCCCACAAAGTGACAGAAAGGCGTCCCCCAATAGTGGCTTACGAACCTGGGCTGCTCAGAGCAATCTCCGTCTCTCTAGTGTAACAATGTACAAAATGTAGGAAAAACAACTCCAACACACCTCTGCCGACCGGCCAGGGGACCATTGCAGGCAGCAAGATCCCGCCAGCTCTGCATACGAAATCTTTCGAGGTCGCGTCAAAGGCTTCACCACATTGGAGACCACATAGTACATGTTCCGGTTGCAGATGTAGGACCTTCAGCTTTCTGGGACTTCAGACATGGACAGAACAGGCGCAGACACATCTTTAGGAGCTGAGGCGCTGCCAGAAGATGAAGAAATCCCAAAGCTGCCCGGCAGTGATGGCACGGCCTTGGCCTCGAGGGCACTGCCCCTGGGGGTTGTGGCGGAGGTCCTGTAGCTGGCACTCGAAGCTGTGGAGGTCCCGCTGCAAGTCGCTCTGGTTGAGGGCCCTCCTCCTCCAGCAGAGAGTGGCGAGGGCCGCCAAGGCTCCCAGCAGCATCATGAGAAGCTCCAGGTAGGTGGCGTAAAACCCGGGGCTCTGCTGCCAGACATTGGCCATGTAGAGTACACCTGCAAGACAGCCGCCGAAGATCTGCAGCCAGCAGAAGAACGGGACTCCGAACATTCCGGTCATGCGGATGGAATGGCATGGCTGGAAGTGCACCGAACCGCAGGATGTGTCCGCGCCTGTGAAGATCGGGGCGCCCTGCTTGTCACATAGCAGCAGCTGCCTCTCACTCAGAGACCTCACCGCAAAGCTTCCCTGATCCAACCAGGGAACTTCGGTTTTTTGGAAGGAGACCATGGCAAGACGATTGGCAAGCAGCCAATGCCTCCCGGTGGTTGATATGGTGACCCCAGCTTGCTGCAAGCGCATGTCGGAAACTGGAATTGCATGGCAAAACATCGGGGGCAACGGAAGGAACAAAAGAATGGAGCACAGCATGACGCCGATGGCCACAGGGACATTTATGGTAGCGAAGTCACAGGAGATGCGCGCGACATCCACGACAGAGCGGAAATGCGAACTGCGGCACACTGAGCACGAGGCGCTCCCCCAATCCCAAGCGAAGTGCCCGGCATCACAAATCTGACACCTGTTGCTGTTGCCGCTTTGTGCCTTGAACCAGCCGGGAAAGCAGGGCTGACACGTGAAGAGCTCTTCCAGGTGGTACTCCTGTCCTGCTGGACATTCGCCCTTCTCACAGCCTTCTCCCTGAAAGGGCTCGTGGCAAGAACAGGATCCGTTGCCTGTCACGGCCGAAAGCTGCAGGCGACTGCGCTCTGGGAATTCTCTGAGTGCGGCCGCGTCATCCCGGCAGTAGCCCCTCCGAGAGCAGACGAACCCATCCTCCGCGCCGGGGCACGCCAGACATTCCCGGGACAAAGAGCCATCCGGGGGCCCGGAGAAGTAGTCCTCGCCACATCCGGAGCAATCCTTCAAATCGTAACGCAGGATGCAAGAACAGGTGTCGGTCTTACCTTTCGTGAAGCCCCGGGAAAGGCACCAATCGTGCCAGTTGCAATAGCCTCTGTTGAAGACCAACACCCCCGAGACGCCACCGGTGTGAACACCAGCCAGCAGGTCAGTGTCACCGTCCTGGTCCCAATCGACGGCATAGGGCATCACAGCGAAGCGCGCCCTGACGCCCGCCAGAGGGTTTGAAGATCCTGTTAGTTCTGAGAAGGACTGGTTTGCCAATTGCTTGAAGAAGCGCACGCGCCCACGGCTGGTCCCGATCAAAAGATCCAGCGCTCCATCTCCGTCAAAGTCTGTGACCTCCAGTGCCTGGGACATCTTACAGGCATGATTCAGCAAAACGATCTCCCTGCTTTCTTCACAGACTAAGCTGCTGTGGTGCCTGGTATCTACACTGTTGCCGTGCGAATACGAGCAAAGGCTTAGATCTAAGAGGAGAGGAACTGGGCGCCCTCTAAAGCCTCTAAAGCAAAGTCCAACATGGACCCAGGTGCACCGGGGCCAACCTCCAAGCCGTGGAAGGGGCTCTCAGCGCCAAGGTGTTCCTGCAGCGACCCATCCGCCAAGCGCTCGAAGTACCGAACCTGCCCCGCAGCACCTGCGACGAGGAGATCCAAGTCACCATCGGAGTCCCAATCCACAGCTCTTGGCACCACCACCATCTCACCATCCGGAACGAAGCTGCGGAAAGGATTGTCTTGTCCAACTCGTTCCTGAAGGCTTCCATCCTCCATGCGCTCGAAGTAGCGCACTGAGCCGTCGTATCCGCCATCCGCTGTGTGGAAGCCCGACAAGAGAAGATCCGTGTCACCGTCCCCATCCCAGTCCGCAGCGCGGGGCACGGCGATTAGATCCACCGACATGCCGTCGAAGGGATTTGCGGACCCAAGGCGCTGTTGAAGTCCTGTAGCAAGAGTGGCCAGCACCCTACCTATGCACCTTACTTAACCTGCATGCACAATCAACACAGCACCACAATGCCGGGTCCTTGAGGTGTTCGCTCGTAGTAGGCAACTGTGCCATTGCTACATCCAACCAGCAGATCAGTATCACCATCTCCGTCCCAGTCCACCGCACATGGTACCTGCCGTCTGGTGTTACAACATAACACAACTTTTGCAGTTGCACAGCTTCGAGGCAGAGATAAAACCATCCCCGCCCTCGGGAGGTGTCCGAGCTACTACCGGCTTGGTGAGCTTTCTGCTTGAAGAAATGTGTGGTAATTCGCCACACGCACAAGCCGCACTTCTTCACAAACGACGTTCAACTGCAAGATGAAGGGTAGGATCAAAGCTTTTAGGGATCGGTCTGTCGGCGCCATAAAACCCCAACCCGAGACAATGCATCCTAAACCCCATATCTTTGACCCCATAAGCTCCGGACGGTGGAACCACCAGACACCCCACAATACCGGTACGCCCTGTAGACACTGTGGTGTATAAAGCCGTTGAAGCCCCAGAAGCCCTGAACTCTCAACGGGCACGTAGTAGTTTGTCGCGTTGTCTTTCTCCGCACTGCCTCTCCAGGGATCACAACAAGGATTAGAGCAAGTATCGTCCTAAACACTATCATGTAAGCCCTAAAGCATTAATCATTAGCCTGTTTGGCCCTACGGCCCCGAAACCCTGAAAAACCCGAAACCTATAAGAATCCTGTATCCTCATCCCTATAAGCCCTGATCCACCTGGAGTTCGGTTTGGGGTTCCCTTAACGCTGTATCCTAAACCCTGAACCCTTTATCCGAAATCCTAACCCCCCGTATACCCTAAACCCCATCAACTCTATAGACCTATAAATATCCTAAACATTACAAGCCCCACAGATAACCCCATAAACCCATACCCTAAACCCTACAAGCCCCATAGTCTATGGGGCTTGTAAGATAACCCCATAAGCCCTACTATAGGCCCCCACCCCTCTTTTGACAAACCCCGTAGACAACCCAATAATCCCCCATAAGTATATCCCCCATCCCTAAACCCTAAACCCTACACCCTAAAGCCTATACCCTAAACCCGATAACCCCTAAACCCTCTATCCCCCTCCCCTCTTTGCTTTGCCCGGTGCCTTCGGGTCCCACAGACTCAGCCTCGGCCACCAGCCGCACACGCTCGCGTGCGAAGAAGCGGAGGCTGGAGTTCGATGCGACCTTTTCAAGGGCTCAACCCCTGAACCCTCAACTAAACCCCTAAAGCTCGAAACCTCCAAACCCCTAAACCCGCAGACCCCTAAACCCTAAACCCTTGAAGATACAGAAGATCGCAGCATGGTCATGAACATGAAAGGGCTCAACGCTGACAGTAATACCAACTACAACCATCAACGGTACTTGCAATAAGAACCGCCATATTCCTATTGAGTATACTTAACAACAAAAACTCAATGGTACTTACAATGAGAATCGTCATGTCCTGTTGTAGTGGCCACTATACACGAAAGTAGCAATAGTCAGTGATAACAGATAGAAGTTGAGTTAGTAGTTGCAGTAGTCCTCGTGTAGTCTGGTCTAGTCTATGCCTAGTAGAAGGAGACCATGGCGATGCAGTAAATTTATGGCTGTTCCAGCTGCAAGAGCAATGATAATCACTATAATTTCAAGCATGACGGGGATGTTACCTTACGGATCTGTGAGGTTGGCGAGTTTGGTATCGGGTCCAGGGAACTGCAATCTGCATGGCGACGAGGACGAGGACTGCGGAGGATGGTGCGGAGAGCTCAGAGGATCATTGTGCAAACATGCTCGAGCCCCAACAATGCCACCACAGCCCTTCCACATTGCCGAGTGGCGGGGCCAGCAATGATGTCTAAGTCGCCGTCACGGTTCCAGTCCACCAACTTAAATGAATGGCAGCAGAAGGAGCTTTACTTGCGAGTCTGCCTAAACAAGTTGTGTTCGGAACATGAGGTGAAGCTGATATCCACAGAGTGGTTCTGAGGCTGTGGGCGGATCCAGCCAGCAACTTACTTACCTGGGGAAGGAGAGAGGCACGAGATACCCAAAACACACACACACACACACACGCATACACAGAAGAAGATCACAGTTCGACATTCCTGTGTAGGCAATTATGCTGAATATTTAGTTCAACACCGTGATAATATTGCACTGCGTGATCTTAAAGCCCTCGCAGTCGTAGTGCTGAGACACACTCAAGGTCTGCAAATCGATCTCCTTCCTCTGGAGGTCGTAGAACGGGTTTAGGTGTCGCTCGCGCTGAACCAGCGTCCCCCGTGCGGTCCGCGTGAAGTACCGGAGGTTCTGACCGACGTACCTGGAGATTAAGAATAATGAGGCCGGCAATGTCACGGCGAACAACACCTAGAATCAAGAGAAACGCTTGCAGCGACGACAGCACAGTAAATATGAAAAAAATAATGTTGACCCCTGATTAATAACCCCCCCCCCCCCCCCCCCCCCCCTCAAGGTTGTCAAGGTCGCAGGCCCCCCACAGGATCACAGACCCCCAAATAATCCGTGAAGCCAAATTGCAGTAAACAGTGGTGCTAGTAGTAGTAGTCGTAGTAGCAGCAGTAGTAGCAGTGGCAGTAGCAGTAGCAGTAGCAGTAGCAGTAGCCCTTGAAAGAACCGCTTGAAAGAGGACAAGACGCCCTTTAAATGTAGTCTTGCCCCCTTTAAAAGTAGTCTTCGAAGCACTTCTTGAAATTTTAGATCCCCAGACGGTGTTGCCTTTAATCGTGGGGGGTTTTCTGCAAAAAACGATCCTTATTTGGGTGCTGCCTTTAAAGTAGTACAGATTGGGGCCGGAGCCGCCCGCAGGCCGCCTTTAATCGTAGGGGGATTATTAATCCTAGGTCAACATTAACACACATGCTTGCAGCCGAAGCGACAGCGATGACAATAATGACAATATATAACAACCACAACAACAGCAGCAGCTTACAACAGCAACCACTACAACAACAGCAGCAGCAGCAAAAGCAACTGCAATACAAGAAGAAGTCGTTATGATCGCCGTCGTACAGAAAAATTGCTTTGTACCGAGGCACAGGAAGTCTGCATCACCGTCTCCATCCCAGTCGGCAGCATAGATGTGACAGGGCTCCCGTTGCACGGGCACACGAAACCCTGCCAACCACGCGTTCTGAATCCAGGGCTTAGGGTTAAAGGCGTTTGGTGGCAACAGCACAGGCGATGCCCTCGTGACCGGAACTGAGGGTAGCAGTGATGAAAAAGAGAATGGATGGCAAGGATGATGTTCATGACAAATCAACCGAGCACGCAAGACGTGCCAGTGAGAACAACAAGCAACTTCGGAACAATATGAGCATCACATTCGTATATAGGGACAGCCGCGACTAGGCAATCGCACAATTAAGAGTAGCCATCGTCGTCGTCGAAGTACTAGCGCAGCCTTGTACTCCATCAGCCTTAAACATCCCTTCTCTACCCAAAGGCCCCAAAGTAGTTCCTTTTGGGGGCTCGCATATAGAATCCCATTAAGGTAATCCCAAGAAGGAACTACTATGGGGCCTCTGGGTAAAGCCCAAACTGCTCCAAGTGCCTGCGAATGGATTCAATGTGCCCGTCATTTCCTTGAGCTCCCCCGTCTCCACACCTCACAGCAAACGTGATTTAATATGATCACAATAACCATCATGCTAATTTCACAATAGTAATAATAATAATAAGATAATCATATTGATATCGATAGTAATGTTAATGGCAATTTCAGCAGTCAACACTCCGTCTAGCCGCGTCTGGCTCCGTTTCTCTTCTGACTTTACGGTGCCTGTCAGACGACGCCTATATACAAGGGTGGAGCGTTGTTCAAGGGCTGAGGCTTGTGTGCTTCAATCGCTTTAGGAATTACGGTTTACCATGTTACAAGATGGCACAATTAAGCCACAGCGGTTCGCGACCATGCACTGCAACCTTGTTGAGTCTCCTTACCGCATCAACCCTCCACCATCTTGGATCTTACTACTGAGACTGAACATTATGGATCTGCACACCCCGTTATGTATTCGATTCCGGACGAAGTCCGAGCATGATGTGCTGTCTGGGTCTGCCTCCACTCACGCGCCTTTTACATCCAGGCAGGTCCCAGACTTAGCAATGCAGGGTACATCAGAGCAACTGCAGTCACGCTGGTGACCCTCGCGACATCTGACTCAAGATATCAGAACACAGAAGAGACAACCGCCAGCAAACCTGGATACTCTCCTGATTGAATCCCGATCATCCTGAAGTCTTTCCAAATCACGGGAAGCTCCCTGAGCATGCATACTATTGTTATTGTTATTATTACTGCTGTTATTGTTATTATCACTGCTATTGTTATACACTTTTGTCATTATGATTATGATCGTTGAAGGAACGGGACCGCAGAGACAGCGAAAACCCAACAAACTAAGCTAAGCACGGGCTGTGGCGGGAAGACGCCCCGACACAGTTTAGCCTTACCCCTGAAGCCCCCACAATCCCCAAACCCCTAAAACCCACTGAACCCTGAACCCTAAACCCCCTATAGATCGCATAAAGGAACCCCTATAGATCCCTTTAAAGGAACTCTATAAGCCCCCTATATGAACTCCGAAAGCCCCCGAGCTTTGCAGACAGGGCACGCTCGAAGAAGCGAAGCTTCGCTCGCGGGTCCTCCCCGCAGGAGATGATATCCAGGTCCCCGTCCCCGTCCCAGTCGACGGCACTGAAACCGTGGGGCTCGGAGAGCTTTGCAAACCTCGCCGCACACTGCTTCCAGGAAGGGAATATGAGGGCCTTAATAGTTAGAATAGGGTTTTGGGGCCCATTCAACTATAATTATGATAAGGAGCCCCCCAAAATAGTCTGTGCCGTAAGTTAGGGCTCAAGGACCTAAGCAGTTGGATTCTTCTGCTTCTGAATTGTCTCTCGGGCGGAGGATTGGCGTGCCGTTGTGAGACAAAGCTATAGAATGAAGCTTTATTCAGCTGACAAGATGCTTGGGTTTAGGGCGTAGGTTATGGAGGGTTTCGGGTTCGCGGGTTAGGATTCAAGCAGATTTAGGGATCGAGATGTAAGGACATGTTCCTGTAGTTCTGCTTCTGGCGGTCACATCGATTCCGCGGAGACCTACAGGTGAGGCAAAGCAGTACCCGGCAATACCAATACCCTATCAATAGTGATCACGACAATGGTACTACACTTCCCACATCCAGAAGCCTAGGCAGTGTGACGTGGAAATCTTCGGTGCAGCTGCTGCCTTCTGTCTCCAACCAACCATGATGCTGCTGAAATGAACTTTCAACAGAAAGGCTCGAACGCCAGATGCAAGAAAGGACGGAGCTCCTTAGCCCTGACAATCTCACTGGCCAGGTTGCACAGGTCCCTGGTAGTGCAGGGAATGCTCGCTGAGCCGGCTGTAGAAGTGCACCTGCCACTTCAGTGCTGCAGGCGTGCTGTAGCTTCGAGGAACTACTCCCATTCTTGGCTCTACAACAGATTGCTTGAGCCAACTCAGTCTCCAGTCTTCTGCTCTTTGACTGCAGCATCGCATCGCGCATCAAGCCGTCAAGATCACAAGTGCTGGACCTGCTGCCAGCCTAGGTCTTGCTGGGACCTTCCTGGCAAAACAAAGACACTCGGCTAGAAACAAACCCCGAGCCTGTCCATCGTCTGCACCCACAAGGAGATCAAGATCTCCGTCCCCATCCCAGTCGACTAGCCGTGGCACTGCGTGTCCTGTGAGATGCCCCTCATCAAGCAACAAGAACTGTCAACTCAACTGTGGGATCGTATCGCCAGCCCTGCAGCATCCCGTTAACTGCTACATGTTACAAGCTTGCATGAGGACTTCTCATCCTATGCCTTTTCTGAGGGTCGACCTGGGCGGAGGGTCCAGGCTGCAAGAAAAACTTATCTCTGCGCCACGTCTCTGCAAGCAAGCAGGAACGTTCACACGAAGAAGGGGAATACTATGAAGATGTGATGGTGACAATAGTGATGTTGTCGTTGATGCTGCTGGTGATGGCGCTGATGATGATGGTGATGATGATGGAAATGGTGGTGATGCTGGTGATGATGCTGACGATTATGGGATGGAAAGGTCACACTACAACACCGAATATGCTGTATGATGGCCATGTTTATGTTCCTGGCCATTCAACCAACCAGATCATATTGCACCCCCCCCCCCCCATAGATACGAGCCCGAAACTTCTGAATCTGAAGGGCTCCGGAGGCCTAAACCAGTAACTCCGAACCCAGCCTCCTACGAAAAACTCGCAACAAGGATCTTTCGCCCCCTGGCTCCTGGGACCCGGACGGAGTGGAAGGAACTTTGCAAGCCGATCCGTTCGGTCAGAAGCCCTGATCCGAGGTTCTCGAAAAAGCGCAGGGTGCCGGCAGCATCTCCCACCAGAATGTCGATGTCCTGTGATTCTGCGGTAGTGGGCTGAAGCTGAAGTTGGGGGCTTGCACAGTTTCGAGCGCGGGCATCCAGGATGTAAGTAGCTATCACATCACATACGATCTGCATCTTTCCCGAGGCTTCGCTGCCAAGAGACGCCGTCTGAGTCCCAGTCCGCTGCATCGTGGCTAGAGCCCGGGGGCAGCTGCACGGGGCTGAAGCCATCCCTCTCCTGAATAACATTTACTTGGGTACTGTAGGGTTACTTTAGGGTTACTATATGGTGCTATAGTTCAGGATACTACAGAGGTCGTAGAAGGGTTCTACCGGGTTTCTGCCGGAAGGGCCTCCTGAGGTTTTCGTTCACCGTTTGTGCACGTTTATCGGGCTTCACAGGTTAAACTTCTTTTTTGATCGAAGCGGGCCGCAGTGATGATCATGACGACGACGGTGATTACGACGCTGACGATGAATGTGACGGTGACGCCGACGATCACGACGACGAGGCTGCATGATCACGATCATGATGGGGAAAACCTTGCCAGTGATGCTGCCACTGCCGCGACTCCTCAAAGCGACAACTGTCATAGACTTGTTAGTCAAAGTCTGCATGTAGGCAGAGTAATCGTCGCATTCATGTATTTTCGACAATCGACAGTATCAAGCACAACAATGCTAGAGTGCATGACACATACAGTTCGAACACATGTTGGACGATCTGCCGCATGCCCGGCAAAGGTAGCTCGACCTGTCTAGTTGTCTCCAGTTTGACTGTGTTACGTCCTGTCGAATAACAGTCACACCGAGCGGCCACAAGCAGCACTTGGTTGCCATAGCTGTGGCCAGGGAGAGGTGCACACCACGGCACATCTTCGCTGCTTGCAAGACCGCTGAGGACAAGGACCCAAAGCCACGGCAAAGCAAGGCCGCGAAGCCCAGCTGTCATGGGCCACGATGACAGCTTTGTCTTAAGCTATGGGGTGTAGTTTCGAAAATCTTGCGTAGGGATGCCTCATTGACCTGTCTTGTGCTTTCATTGAGGGCCTAAAGGGGGCATACCTTAGCGTAAACGTGGCTGCAGGGCACGCATCGACAAGGCTTTCCGCCAGGAAACGACACCGGTGCAGCCTTCCAGTCTAATTCCATGGCCGATGGCAGATGCCAGCAATACCCGACTCGACTGCACTTTAAGGCACATGCTGCAGACACCAATGTCATCGCAGGCACGCAGCAGATTGGCCTCATGTACTCTCTTCAGATGGCCCAGCATGCCAGCATGAGGGGTTCATGGCAGTGACAGCTAAGGTAAGACTGTCTGGAACTAACTCTTCACAAGACCAACACCACATGGATAAGTTATCGGCTGGACATTAAGAAGCTAATTCCAAAGCACAAGTGCCAAAGGTATGCTAGTGAGATTAGCAGAATGCCTGTAGTGCAGAACATCTCAGCTTGCCGCCAACTTGTGGAAATGCGGTTTCGCCTGGTCCAGGGATCCATAGTTTGGGAACAGGACTCCGCTAGCGGCGTCGTCACGAGACGACACAGCACGATCATGCTGTATGGTTCTGGCGCCACCAGCAACGCCCGAAGTCTTCCAATTCACGCCTCCACGCATGGACCGCACCAGTCTGCGTACACATCCAGGAAGATGTCCCTGTCACTGTCGATGACAAGCTCCTGTTGGTTGGCACACCGGGCGGCTGTTCCAGATGATGACGATTAGTCAGTCTCGCATAATGAATGCTTCAGGACTAATTAGGCCACTGTGCCACTAAGCTAAACTATACTTAATCTACTACGCTGTATCTTCAACTATTTCTGGCTTTCGAAACAAGCCCGACATGACTTCGAAGCTTCTAAGAAGCCACAAGTTCCCAGTAGTATTCATCTTTCTGGTTGTTACCTGTCAAACCAACCCTTAAAAAATCATGGTCACATTGCTCAGTATTAATGAGTCGAAGACCGGATCATGGTGTTCATCATGTTTAAGCCACTGCTGTGAGCCCAAGTGAGGCCAAGAACAGAGTTCTCAAGCCCAGCATCCCGTCATAGGAAGTTTTTTCTTCAACAGTACTTTCCTCGTTGTTACAGTCGAGGGTTTGTGGTTTCGAAGGCCGCTTTTCCGTTTGCACAGGGGTCTATGCTACGAGAAGCCCAGCTGGGGCAGGCTGAGGACTTTTTGTCGCCATGTGTTTCCAGAAGATGCGTAAATTTCACCCTAAACACAAACCAGTGCCTCTGGACGGGAGTAGGGTTTAAGGTACAGTCCAGGGTTTTGGGTTGAGCCTTCAGGAATTTAGGGTTTGGGGACCCTGATACTAACAACTGGGTGGTTGTCAGAACTATGGTCCTTTTCTGGGTCTCTATGATAATACGGCACCTATTATTTAGGGTACCCCAAAAGGGACCCTAAGTTTGACAACCACACATCTCCGAAAGCCACAGACTCTACTTCCAATAGGCCAAGAGCCGGCCTGAAAGGAGTCTGCCACCACCACGGTAAGACCTGGATGGTCCTGGTCCTCCAAAGGCTTCTGTAGGGATCTTACAGGGATATACATATATACTGGGGGGTCGACCACATATTTATATACATATAAACTTTTCTGATATCAAATAATCAAATTCTGGTGTGGGGCCTTGGGTCCCATTAGGTGACGTTCGCATGGCTTGGGCGAGATATTCGAGGATACCGAGATGAAATCTTGCTGTTTGCATGAAAACCTCGTTACGTTCTCGTCACGATGCCTGCTCTTGTCGCTTGTATTTTTCTACATTTCTATACGTACTTTAACACCTCTTGTTTTTGAAACTGGCAGAAATACTACTATTCCTGGGTTTCACTGAACACCTAGACAGAGTCCAACGATGTTTGTGTCGCTTTTTTGTGAAATGGTCTTTCATTGCGACTAAATCGTGACGTCACTACATATATAAGTGGTTTCATTTGTCACAATAATAACGCGGGCCGCCTGCACTGTTGCTGCTGTTGCTGCTGCAAGCTGCAGTCGCTCAGGAGGCAGTGCGGGCGGTGGCGGTAGTGAGTAATGACAGGTGACCGGTGATGATGGTGGTAGTAGCAGTAGTCAAGATGCTGTATTGTTCAAGGTTCCCTCCACTCTCTCCCGCGCTTGTGAAGCGTGACTGCTGGTGCAAGTTTTACAGGCTGAGCTTGCGGCTCTCTGGCCAATCTCACACTGTGGTCAGGCAAAGGTACTGGCAGGTTTCGCCAAACCAACGCTGCGAGAGGAATCGTTATAAGTGCGGTGCCGACAGAACCTAAATCATGTGGAAGGTGCGCAGAAAGGAAAGAATGGAGAAAGAGGAAGGCACCGAAGATGAAGACCCCTGGCAGTAGGAGGAGCAAGGACTTGACATAGTCCAGCAGTCGCCAGGCACACTTTGTCTGCATAGCCCATGCCAGGCGAAACATGACGCGGACGAGGATGGGAACCAGCCCGAGCCAGTGAGACAGGCCCAAGAGAAGCTGATAGGTTGCCTTAAAATGCCACAGCTGGTTAGCCGCAATGTCAAGATGAAACCAAAGGAATACCGGAGAAGCCTCGGCTAAACGCCAGTATGACACCATGTGATTGGAAAGCTGATCCACCAGCAAGTTGTATAAGTCGCCTTGGACTTGCTGTTCAAAAGCTTCGATGCCACCAAACCAAATGTTGATGCATCTCTGCATCACCTCTCGGTCGCACATCATAGGCTCTTTGCTCCGGGGATTTCTGTGCTCCACAGTGCAGCAAAAGCTTTCAGCCGTTGCAACACGGAAGTGTGCGTGGGTCGATAAATAAATGACGACATCAAGGTTTACACTGAAACATATATGTAGATACATACACACCCACGCATCCAAGGCATAATCGCTTGTGCTAGCGACAGTTGGAGTCGGTGCCGCCTTCGCAGCTTGCATTCGCAACAATAACCACACTGATAACAGTGGCAGTACTTGCAGGTGTAGCAGCAGCAGCAGCAGCAGCAACAGCAGCAGCAGCAGCAACAGGAAGAGCAGTCCATAGTCGTAGTCGTCGTCTTCGTCGAAGTAATGGAAGTAGGAGGTGAGCAGCAGGCTTTACCGGATCTTCTGAAACAAGATGCATGTGGATAAGAAACGTCTCGCTCTAACGCTGCCTCATTACCGGCACCCGGCAACTGCAATCGGCTCTGCAAGCACAAGCCTAGTCCTCTTGCAGTCCGCGGCAAACCAAGTCGAAGCCCATTCCCCAAGGGTCCAAGTACCCAATAATCATATACTCTCCAAATCCTAACCTACGTAACTACTATCCTAAAACCGAGTACCTGATTATTGGGTCCTTTGGAATTTTGGGGATTCTGAAACTGTCAAAACGAGGTAGAGGCGCATAAGCTGATGAAAGCTCTGGAAAGTCCTCAAACCCCAAAGCCTGAAACCCTATGACGTTATTGACCCTAGCGCCTCAAACCCTAAACCTTCACCCTACCTAAACCCCCAAAGGTAAGTAAAATAATGGCCCAATACCCATACAAGGCTTTTATTCTACATACTCTTGGGGTCCAGGTACACCCTAATTAATTATGCACCCCAAAGTCATCGCGATTTCTGCGGCCTTGTCGTCCTTCGGTCTCGGTGCGCTGCTGGGCTTCGGGGCACCGCAGCTTGCGCAAACCAGCTTCTCCATGCGCCTTCAAAGAAGTTGTATATACATGCATAGCTACATATATATATATATATATATATAATTATTTATTTATATGTGTATACATATAGATATATATATATATACACATACAAATGTATGTATACATGCATGCATGCATACATACAGACATGCACACGTACATACATACACACATACACACATTCCGACTAGTCTTACTGTTGTCCGATGACTTCTAAAAGGGACATGATTATGGGTTTTACAGTTGCTATCGCTGCTGCACAAAAGGTTCGCAAGAGAAAAACTCGCACGGCTGTTACAAGTATCATGATATGATACACTTAAGCAAATTCTGTGATGCGAGCGTTCGTGCAAGAGCGTAACTCTAACCCGGGACCCTAAAACCTACAAGCCGAAAGCCTAAACCTTAACCGAACTCCTATAAGCACGTGAACCTTAAACCCTGAGTATACCCCAACCAAGATCCCAAATCTTTACAAGTAGTACCTTCCAGCCCTGAACCCTTCTGACACAACTGAGGCTGGAGCTTACCGGGAGCATTGTGTTTCTTGCACTTCTTGCATCTCCACACTCCTCGGGGAACCTCGGAAGATCAGTCGAGATATGATAGGGTCGGAAATGAGTCCTTATGGTGATGGATAATGCGTGGTATTTTGCGAAGTGTTCCGACCTCCATAATATCGCGAGGAACATAGCCCAGCTCAGCGGAAGACCGTCGCCTCCTAAATAGCCTGATTTTAGGCACAAGCTTTGTCAGAGAATGCTGAACACCACTGCTTGTGCTGAGAAACACACGAATATGTCAATGACACAACTAACTTTGCCGGACGAAGAGGTTCTGGGTTCAGATTTTAAAGGGATAATACGATTGAGAATGCTGACTGCTGACTTCGTCATTCAGGGGCGGAGAAACGCAAAGCCCATCATAGGAGGAGCACATTTCTCTTTTCCTGTCGTGCAAAGATGCATCTTGCATGCTCTACAGCCATAACATCCTAACAGCACAGAAAGAGGAACCGCACGCAAGAGAAGCTGCCCACGAATGATAAGCGGCTGTTCTATGGAGAGGCAACACTGCAATCGCCGATTGTGGTTTGTTTCTGTGCTAACTTCGCATGAGGACTTCAATGCTCAAGCCTCGTCGACTGTGAGTTTTGGCTGGATTATGGAGTGTATTACCGTGCACAATTGCAAGATGCAAGCATGTTCAAGGCTACTGTGTTGGATGTCTTCCACTCTCTAGGCAGTGCACAACCAGGTGTCTCATTGATTTCGAAGTGAGATCTTTGCCCGAACAAAGCACTGGAAACGGCGACCAAAATCCGAAAGCACCTGAACTAACGTAAAACCTGGCCCTCAACCCCGGACACACATGGGCCCGGAGGCTTGGACTTTGCACTTTACCGAGCTTGTGGCCTGCGCCTCGTGCACTTCCTCCGTATCCAGGACCCTGCAGCAAAGCTCCTGCGTTGAAGCTCAAGGTTTAGGGCTTTAGGGGTTTTAGCGGTATAGGCTGTCTGCAAAACCTTGCCTGGCAGTACCAGTATAGTGTTGCATGAATACGCAGCGATGCACGATAGCAAGGCAGAAAAGAAGAACATGTGCAGTAGTCTGCAACATAGCGCTTCCGACAATGTTAGACAAATCACCTGTGCAAAAACATGTACATATATGTACAAACAAACACACGCAAACAACATGAGTCTACCTATATATACACACACACATTTTTTGCATTTGATGGACAGATATGTCTCTGTGTGTGAGCCTATCCAACGTACATACGTGGCAGACTCTGAATACATACACATATATAAATATAGATACATATACTAATATGTGTACATGCACATGCATACACGCGTGGAAAAGAGCCATCAAGCGAACAATACACTAACTTACAATTGCTGCACAACTGCGCTCTGTAGCAACCACGAGTATGCGATGCGCCATGGGAATGACAAAGGGCCGTGATGGTGCACAGGAATCTAGAGGCAGTAGACTCATCGTTCAATACCATGCAAACGTAAGTCGTCAACCGAAATCCAGGCATGAATACTGCTGGTGGGCAAGTATGATGATGCTGCTCAGGATGGTGATGATACGAACAGTATCGATACTCCTACTTTGGAAGAACACGCATGTATTCGACCAAGGATGGATATATATATATATATATATGTACTTATGATGCAGGGCTGCCACACCCCCCCTCCCCCACCCCATGGTATGGTATCCCTCCCCTTGCCTGTCAAGTGGGTAGTCTTCTTGTTTGGCCTTGTTGCTTTCCCGTCTTCACGGGTGGTCTCGCTTGGCCTTGTCCTCTCCCCCCCCTGTGGAGTGGGATCTGTGGTCTTTTTGGTTGGCCCCGCCCCGCCTGTAGGGGCAGTGTGTGTTACAGAAGTATGGTATGGTTGCTCCCGGTTCATCGTTAAGTGCCTTGTCCCCTCCCCCCGTGTGGGGTGGGGCCTGAGGTCTTGTTGGTTGGCCCCGCCACGCCTGTGGGGGCAGTGTGTTGTGCAGAGGTATGGTACGGTTGTGGCCTCTTGTTAGTAGTAATGTCATCGTCACGTGCTCGTTACCACAAACTACAAAGCTTGATATTGCTCTTTTCTACTTGCAAATCTGCTCTGATGCGGTTCTCTGCTCTGGCTGGGATCATTCTCCATCGTCCTCCCTCCCTCTGGTTTATATATATATATATACATACATACATACATACATACATACATACATACATATATATATATATATACACATACACGCACATATCTACATATTTATATGTATGATACAAGAGAAATGTCTAGCACATGCTAGATTTATTGCATGGCGGGTCCATGGTTCGCAGCTGGCCGCCGGGCATAGCGGAAGAGCTGGCCGACCTGAGATCCGCAATTTTTGTTGTTTTTAGGGATTACCTTAAGGGTTTAGGGTTTAGGGTTTAATACCCATAGGCCCCAAAGTAGTTCCTTTTTGGGATTACCTTATAGGATTCTATATATGAACCCCAAAAAGGAACTACTTTTGGGGCCTTAGGGTAGGGATTCGCTTAACCCCGAAGAGCCTACCATTTTAAGGACTTATATAAAGAAGTCATATTAAGGAACCCAAAAGGTAGGTTATTCAGGGTTAAGGTAGAGGTTCAGGTGTTCAGGGGGCGTAGGGGTGGAGGGGGGGGGAGGTGACTCCAAATCCAGCACTGAAGGGGCTTCCTATCTCTTCTGCCCGGTTTGGGAGTCTACATTCTTCCGATTTGTTGCATCTATTGACAAAGAACCTTAGGCTTGGCTCAGCTCGAGGCTGCAAGCTGCAAGCCTTTTCGGAGGAACATCAAGGATTTCGAGGCAGGTTGAACATCGAGTCTAACACTCTCTGCCTCAAGCACAGTTTAGCTCTTGGACATGCTGACACACTTTGCTTACCTTTGGCTAGTGGGGAATGGAGGAATGGGGTAAAAGTATAACTATAACTACTATTACTACCATTCTTCCATTCCCTGCTAACCAAATTGAGATGCTCAGGTTGCAGCGGTGGCAGCAGTCTAAAGCCGCCGGAAGCATCAATGGCCAAGGCCTCCTGCAGGCAGACACGGACGCGAGAGTCCGGGTCGTGCAGGCTGCGCGGATTCTCCACTCTCATCGCGACGCACGTAGGCCGGCTCTTTGAAGGATACAGACCGAAGCCTTAAGCTCTAATCCCAAACAGGTACCAAGGACTCCTCGAGGGCGGCATGACTCTTGGCGTGGAAAGCCACCTTGCCGGCTGAGCTCTTTTCAAACTTGAGGGTTCCGTTCTGCAAGGGTTCTATATGAGTTCCACAAGGGCTTCCTGAGGGTTATATAAATCCTTTGGCTTTAGGGCTTTGGGTTTTGTGGCTTCCTTGACGGCTTGGCACGTGCAGAGGTTGGGGCTTGCTTGTTGATCTGTTCGAAGCTTCAGGGCTCTTCGGTTAGTGCCACCATGGCGATTTCCCATGGACCTGTAACTTGGAATGGAGTAGACGACGTCCGTCCAGTTTTAC